TACTGTACCCGCTACAACCATACAGTACAGTATAGTACAGTACAGTACAGTACTGTACAGTACTGTATGCAGTATCCACTGTACACTGTACACTGTACATACAGCATCGCTCTTTCTTACCACACTCATACTGATGGTCTACTGAGGCCTGGAATGAGTTACTGGAATTCGTAAACAAATGGTGATAGCAAGCTGGACTGGACACTGTACAGTATAATAGTGTTTAGTATACCTGGACGCTGCTCATTCTTGTTGAATCATGAGAATTGTATATAACATCTTCGATCCTTTCGACAGCCATTTGAAGTAGTCAAATTACAAGCTATCCTTATTTCCTTTAGAATGAGTATGAATTGCATACCTTCCATATCAGAGATTACAACAATTCAAGAAGGTACAGTATCGTAAAATGACTGCACACTGTACAGCAATATTGATTGATTGTCCATTGAATTGGTGCACATTGCGCATTACGCTGATGACTCTCGATGGCTACGTACATTTTGACTACTTGTTCGCCTAGAGTACAGTTAGTGACAGTCGATTCTTGCTATTTACAAACATCTTGCAAAATGGTGCATCATACGCGTAGACAGCATAGATTGCACTTTATTATGACTGCTAACGAATCATTGCAACAAGCTAGTGGAATCCTCGTGCATATTGGTTGACTAGCTGCAACTTACTGTACGTAGAATACTCTACAACTAGCTCACTCACTTATTCGTATTCTAGTCAGGCCACGCTCTCGCTGCGCTGGACGTTATTGTCAAATTAATGATCAGTTTTTGCCAATAGATACACACGTAAAAACACCAAAACATTTTCATGTAATACCACTTGCTACCTATTCTTTTATGAACCAATGAACTTCGTGAATATGCGAACTGATACACAGGCAGAAAATGGACCAAGTTATTTCTTATAATATCGAGATAGATATTCTATATCTAGATAGAGATGAATCATAGCGATATCACTTCGAAAGAATTTTTTGCACTGTATAGTAGCTTAAGACTGTACGTAGTTTATTGTGTGAGTGATTGCGGAAAATTAATAGGATGATAGAACTTGCCAGTATTAATTTAGTATAGGTATCAAACATTTCTAGAGCATCTGTTAATGTCTCGTCATAGTGCTTACGAATTAGACAATCTTTCAACATCTTAACTACATTTGATGCGGATTGTACCGATTTAAATCTCTTTTATGTATTCAGATATAGGGATTATTTTGATTGTCCTGAATCAGCCTGTAACTTGCAATGCAAGTTTATACGAGCGTGAACGCCATCTTCTAACAACGTTGATGCGTAAAGGTATACGCGTACAGACTTACATCTTTGATCTACAATAGATACAAGTACTTTTGAAATTTCACATGAGGAAGGCTATCATATACATAACTTACTTTAATCTCTCTTGTATTACGTAATATAATTTTCTGACTGCATGTACAGTAGATCATAATACTACTCATATTGAGTTCAACTCTAGACAGGAAGGCACGATGATATCTATAGTTTTACCAGTATTCAGATATTGTAGTAAAACTAATATTATGATGTCCTATAACATAATTTCACATTTTGCAGCTAAACTGACTGTATGCGCAGATGGTGGGGCCAATTACGTATTTGAGTTACTCGATGATGACAGAAATAAGTGAGCTTAGTAATAATTTGAATAGTTTGAACTCTATGTAAAGATCATATTCTATAGCGTATCCGTTGTAAATTGGTGGTGTACTTTACATTGTATCTACTTCAGAGCTTTAATATACTTTGTAATTAAGGTATATTCCAGATGTCATCTGTGGAGATTTAGATTCCGTCAATTCGAATGCCCAGAACTACTATAAGGACAAGGTTAGCATCTGCAATATCGTATACAATAATTAAAACTTTTAATATCCATGAAGTACTACATTCGCCTGAATCATACAACTTGAAATAGGGTACTATCATTGTGCACAAGAGTGACGAAGATGAAAACGACTTCTTGAAATGCCTAAGACTTGTTTTACAGACAGAGCCGTATCGTAACATTCAGGTTATTTTGGATACTTTTATCATACTGCATATTCGCATAGATATAATTCACTAAGCAAAGTTACGATCATCCAAACATTGTACAGTATTTCAATCAGGTTTACGTCATTTGACTAATGTATCAAAAAATAATTCAAATTTCAATTTTTATGTCTGGTCCTGGATAGCTAGTGAGCAACTAAAATTTCGATATAACTTATACGTTTAATGTACTGTAGTGCGATTACATTATAGCGCTAGGAGCAGTGCATGATCGGTTTGACCAAAGTATGGCATCCATCCATGCCCTGTATGTAGCTGCGAAGATCAGTCGGATTCAAATAATCCTGCTGTCCGTCAAATCATATATCTGCCTTCTGACTCCAGTATGAATATACACGTATAATGTTTTTGCTATTTGCTTGCGGGGGTTATCAATACTGATATTTTAATCTTATATTATGTAGGGTCAGCATAAAGTCCTAGTTAATACTGAAATGGAAGGTAATTGGTGCAGCTTGCTTCCAATTGGTAATAAATGTAATAATTTAAGAACTACCGGATTGAAATGGAATCTCCCAGTTGGTTAGTGTTGTCCCTATCGATATCAGTATTCGATGTAAAACATGCTTTATCCCATCAAATAATAACACTATTTGATCAATTTCGCTGATTTGCCCTAACAAAATATATAATCGCCATTTCGTTGGTTTTGCAATTGTAATAGAGGGAATCGAATTTGCGTTTGGTAGCTTGATAAGTACTTCAAATGCTTTTGACGGATCTAACGAAGTTACAATCACAACTGACGATAACGTTATTTGGTCCATGGAGATAAATTATACTTTAAATTAGATTCTATGCTGATACATTTAGTAATAATGAAACTATCCGGCACTCTCATCATTATTTATTTGCTATGCTACTGAAAACGGAAGTATTTATCAATCTGATATTTCTTGAATTTTAAAATACCCACTCTATTTGTAACTCTGATAGTACATTTCAATTACACTAACAATTCAACATCCTATGTGGTATGTTAATAACGCTTTATTAGCCATACGTTAAGTTTACAGCAAGCACAGAAACAATCCATTCATTTCTCGCTATAGGCGACATACGATTCAGTTGATTAACTTCCACTGTTGAAAAGGAAATATTTCATAATAAGCTGAATAAAAAACGACCAGATATTGTCAGTATCTGAATCAATGAGAAAATTTGTACTTACACGATGATGTTATTGATGGGGATGTGGATCAACTTAACGAAAAAGCCTATAAATCCCATAATTCCAAAACCGATAGCCGTGGCAAATGCAATCTTTTGAAATTCTGTTTTATTTAGCGCGTCCATCCGTAGTAAATATGTAAGACAAAACGTTCCAATAGTGGTTATCAAGTATATCAATATATATACTCGTATTGTAGGTACAAGGCATAATTTAAAAAAGCATGAGCAAGAAGCAATCGATCGAACGTACGATATATCAGTAATCATGATCAATTTTTTAATTCTATTATCTATCATGTGATATCATCTCAACTAGAATACAGTCTGTAGGTAATTATGTACGAGGTCAGTAAATCTAAAGCGTTTATACTACAACTTATCAGAGTCGTTACACTACTAGAGGGTAAACAGTGTTGTCCTATTTTCAGTGTCCATGAACGTACTGTCTAATATGGTAGCTAGTTACATGACAAATCTGACGTGACTGTTTCACTGTCAATTAAGTTTAAAACTTGAGATTGACAGTACAGTATAGAGCGTTTTTAAAGCATTTGTCGAGTTTATTGAAAAGACATAGTAACAGGAATTGTTAAGCATTATTCTTCTATTGGCGGCAATAAGTTTGGTATATCTGAAACTCTTGACTGGCTTATTGTAATTATTGCGTAACTTTAGCTAGCATGGTGATTTAAAATCATCCTAATTTATTGATAGCGAATTAAGTATGCCATCGATATACTTAATAACTTGCAGACATGGTAACAAACTATTTGTAATAAGTATGAGGCAGTCTGATTCTATATTTATTTTTAGTAACCTGTTTGATATGTTTGTGGATACTATGATCAACAATGCTGGTGATCATACGTCCTACCGAGTTACCGACATAAATAAAATTTGATCGAATCCAATAGCCATAACTAAGTTTCTACAATTCAATTGGATTTGATCCATAAAATCTTAATTGTATTACTTTGTTAGAACAGGTTGTATCAATGTATGGGTATTGAATAATTCCTTCTTCAAACCTTTTTACGGTACTGTACAGAAAGCACATAAGGCAAAAACGGAAGAATTTGTATCATACGCTTATTTTTCAATGGATGTTGAATGGCCTCTCATCACAACATAGAGTAGATTATTAAGAACGTAGCATACTACAGTATAAAGTGTAGTTTCAATACAATGCGAATAGCAACACCGTTGAATAACGATGGAAGAAAAACTGTTTTAATCACGACTAACCAATTTGATAGTCACAATGCTATGATGACTACGTAGTAGAAGACAAGAAAGCGTACATTTCCTATGTCCAGTGTATCTGTATACTGTACGCTTATTCTGTAGATATAAAATGATGGTACTTTTATTTTGTCATGACGATCCAAACTAATTTAAAATACTGATAAAAGGTGTGACATACTGGCCAGATTAAATGATTCATTATAATCTCGTACATTACAGAAAAATAGAGATTGTTATCATTTTACAGGCAGAAGATGATTTTTACGTTTATGTAACATGCAAGTCGAATGGAATATTTAATTGAACTAGGCAATAAAGGCCTGTTGAAGTTATTCATACCTTTTCGGTCAGGTTTAGTGCATCGTTTGACTAAACGAACAGAATCCTTTACAAACACTTTTAGTGGGTCAACTAAAGTCGTTACTTGGTCCATTATTGGGCTATTTGGAAATGATGAGAAAAAAAATTGGTAAGCTAAACAACATCATCTTGCATGAATGACGAAGGAATCGATCCATATCCAGGCAGTAATCCTATACTGTGCTGTACGTCTTGAATAGACATGTCCATCTTTAGCTACATTTACTAAGACAAAAGTACACCGAAAATGCCGATTGAGGCTAGATAATACGGCAAAAGATTTAGTGCGGCCTACCTTGATCGGTTAAAGCTTGAGAGAATCAGCAAGACGCTTGTGGTATTTGTTCAAAAAGATCCAACAACAGTGGCGACGGTGGTTGTTATACGTACAGTACTGTACTACAGTACTAAAACTGGACAGTACTGTACCGTACTCCTACAACAGTACTGTCCACCCACTGTTCGCTACAGTGTACAGTATAGTACCGTACTGTGCTGATGAGTAAATACTGTACTGTAGTTCTGTAAAAAGAGAAGGGTTGAAATAAAATACAGTACAGTATAGTGCAGTACTGTACTGTACTAGGCCACAGCGTGGATTTGGCCGTTTCCGCCTTGGTTGTTCCTTCCATCCGTCACCGTTGGCAGGGCCTGTAATCATAGACGGTACCGTACCAAGACTACAGTACAGTGTACTGTAGTCTTCTTGAAACTCTGTAGGGAAAAGTAAAGGTACTGTAACGTACATACAGTACAGTACAGTACTGTATGACTGTAAATCTGCTGCATGTACTGTACTGTACTGTACTGTACGTACAGCAGGTAAATCATGGCAGAATTTCAAGAAAACTGGTTCCAATTTGTCAATTTTGTTGTTGAGATTCTGGGTGGTAGTAGGATCGAATGTCAATTAAATAATTGAATTGTATAGTTTAAGAATACATCCAATTTTTCTGCTCTGATTTTTTTGTCTATAATCTTTGGGCAGCGAGAAATAACTCAATCATATCAGGTCATTTTGGGATACTTTCATAGTCTTCGTCGTACGTGTCATTCGCATCATCGCTCGGTACTGCGGCGCAACCACAATCAATCTTCAATGATACAGTGTACAGTACTGTACTGTACTGTATGTACTGTACACTGTACTGTACAGTGTACAGTACTTACAGTACTGTACTTTCTATTTAGAAAGTTCCGCATGCAGTAACTTTGCAAAGGTAAGCTGGCATTCTATTCTACTGTATAGAACGCGCGATGCGAATGAAACATAATGCCACGAAAGTATCCAAAATAACCGGATATCTGTCGCTAGTTCTCGTTACCCAAGAATCATCAAAGCGTATCATTTTCATCTTAGCGATCACAAGCAGTAACATTTTACCTACTGTATTCTTAAACTATATCATTCAATGATGAAAATATTTATAATCGACAATACTACCACCCAAAATTTCAACAACAACGTTGATTCGTTAAGAGTCAGCTTGTGGCCAGTTTTCTTTCATTTCTGGCGAGTACAATGTACAGTACATTGTACAGTACTGTACAGTACGTCGAGTGGATCAAGCGCTGATGCGCTGCAGTGTGCGTACGGTATGGCTGAAACTTGAGGTATGGTACATACTGTACTGTACATTACCCGTTTTCATTCAAACCAACTACTTCACCTGGTAATGGAGGTTTCGGTTCATCAGACATTTTTACCAAATGCCTACCGGTAGTTCATACTAGTTCATGCTGTGCGCGTGCGTTTATACGGTACTGTACAGTGTACTGTACACTAATAATTGTAAAAGAGAGAAAAGAAAAGAAAACCTGTACACTGTACACTGTACAGTACAGTACACTGAACCAGCCTGAACACGAACTGCAGTACTGTACATACGCACACTCGCAGAGCACAGTAGGCTACCGTGCAAAAGTAATTGCACACTTACAGTATTCTAATTGTTTCGTACTGTACTGTACGTACTATACTGTACTGTAGTCTAACCTGCAAAAGTAATTGCACACTTACAGTACAGTATTTTAATTGTTTCGTACTGTACTGTACTGCACGTACCGTACTGTACACTGTACAGTACACTAAAGCTGCCTGAACACGAACTACAGGTATGTACTGTACTGTACACTGTACAGTACAGTGTACAGTACATACCCACACTCGCAGAGTACTGTACAGTACTGTACTGTACTGTACTGTAGTCTACCGCGCAAAAGGAATTGCACACTCATTATTGTTCTGTACTGTACTGTGTACTACGTACTGTAGAGTTAGAGTATAGAGTGTACAGTATACAGTACTGCACAGTGTACAGTACCTGATCCGACTTCCAGCTGACCAGCGCATGCGTACGAATTTTCAAATGATGTGGAGCTATTGTAGACTAATAAGGTCGTTGGTTCGTATTGTCACTGGTATTAAATGCATATGAGAACTTTTTGTGGCTTCCGCCATCTTGAATTTATTGTGTAGATATGACGGTCATTGATGATTAAATTTGAAAATTCGATAACCAGTAGCACTGGTAGGCTCTTCATTTTGTAATGGTTGTTGTAGAAAGATATCTTATGTTTATTTTTTGTACTTTTATATCGGATGCAAGGTTTTGGCGTTGATTTACAGCTAATACAAAGCCGTTGCTAGACGCTAACTTTCCTGCCCGCCATGAATAAATTGTCATTTCGCGCACGTAGTTTAGATGTTCATAAAAGTTTACCCATTTATCGAGCAGAAGATTTAACTGACTTATCAGAATGTGCAGCAATCAATCGTGCTGTACCTCAAATGCCTACGGGCATGGAGAAAGAGGAAGAATCGGTAAGTAGATAATCTTTTTTACTTCACTGTAGAAATTGGGGGAAAAAAACTTCCCAAAATGGAATTCATTTCTCAACTAGGCTAGTATAGGATAAATTGTGTTGCTGGCATTTTCTGGATTTACTGGACGATGACGCTAGTATACTGTATCATACCATACTTTACGTTAGTGTAGTCTAGCTCAAGTCTTCAAGTCAATTTTGCTAATGCCTAATTCTAAAAACCATGTACCATGCAGTACACTACTTACAGTACAGTTGATGAAGAAGCTGATGGAGAGTCAGGGTAAATGTGACCATGGTAATTTACGGTACTAGTACAGTACCAGTACGGTACTGGTACAGGCCAGGCATGAGTCCATGCCACTACTGGCTTATCCTACAGTACATACTGTACTCTACAGTACTTGATCTACAGTATAGTATGGCATCGCGCTGGAATAGAGCTTAGCAGCGAGCACTTGCAAGTTAATCACTGCTGCTGTTGGCTTTAAAAGCAGATTTCGATCTCATCGATGTTGGTTCCATTTTCAACTTTGATGAGCTACTGCACTAAGGAACATCGATGTGTACAGTAGAATGCACAGTAATTCATGACTAGGTTGCACGCTACCGAAATGGTGCGTTTTCCATTGCCGGTGGTGAAAGGCGGCAATGGGCCTAGTACACCGAGCTCAGTAAGCTACTGTACTGTATAGTATACAAGCGACAACGCTTACCCTTCGATCCATGTGGTTTGCCATAGAGAACCAACAGGGAACAATCATTGTACCATAAGTAACAAGTGAGTGCCAATAGGGCAATCAGCAATTTCAGTTAACGCTTAATGAATAAACAAGAGTGTCTAAAAAGAGAGCTGAGGTGAGGTATTCACGAATGACTACTTCCAACTACATGTATATGCAAAGGGGTAGTCGACGTAGCGAGAGACAATTCGATGAAAATCCAAGTTCTACATGGATTTCTTTCGTCATCCGATAGACATTAGGGGGAAGGGCATATTGGGTGTCGTAAAAACAGTACAGTTATTTCAAGTTTATTTCACTTTTGCAAAGAACTACAGCAACTCGACTTTTGCAATGGATGCAATGATTTCGATCGTACTAAGTGGAGAAGAAAGAAATCCTATGCGCGTATACATATTCTACATTTAGTGTACTCTAAGCGTCCTGCCATGCTTAAACGACGCAGTATGCAGCTATGGGAGGTAGTGTAGCTGTAGAAACTCGCGATAGGAATCAATGTGAGGCAGGGATTGCAGCAATGCCTGTGCTTAGTTCCAGAGCGGTTCGAGCTGTAAATTTTTGTAACTCACTTCGCATTTATACAGTACCGATCTTACGTGATTCTAATCGACCTTATATTGTATCGTGTTAGGCATGATACGCGTGACAAAATACTGTACGTACAGTAATGCAAAGCAAAAGTAGCAAGTAGACATGCACTGATAGCATATGTAGAGTAGCTTCGAGGCTGAAATTTTTCGATCACTGACTGAAGTCTAAATGAGTAGGGTTTGTAGATCAATTTTGATGAGAAAAGATTGCTTAGTTAAGTCGTCTTTTCTTATTCTCTTCTAGCCCTAACGCATTGATTAATTGAGTTGTCCATGCTCACAAGTGATGACTATGAGTCCGTTTAGACTATATTTATTGACTATAATTATTGGCCCACAAATGCAAATGCTGTATAATTGCCTGTCGGCTGTCGGTCTCCGTTATTGCAATTCAAATATGTTGGAAAGTATTGGTGATTACGTTCTGTTGAGCTAAGTTTCGCTGAATACATCAATAAATATTCGCAGTCAATAGGACACTCCCCTGCATTGGGTGCCCTGATAAAGGGAATGATGATATGATTGCTCTCTAGTAAGAAATTTAACCATGGCTGTATTGAATTTGTTTCAATACAGAAATTTATTTTCAAAAGTAACATCCTTAGATGCTCTCAGTAATCAGCTAGTAGTATTGCGATAGAAGTAAATTGTATTGACAGTTAATGCTGATATATAGCCGCCGTTATGTATGATATATTAATATTGCATTACATTTAGAGTAGCGAATAGGCATTTAAATCGCAAAGTTTCATTTATTTATTAATGTAGGAACACCATCTACAAAGAGCGATATCCGCTCAACAAGTTTTTGGCGACAAGCAACAGCTTATAATTCCGACGCCGCAATCTCAGGTATCTTACAAGCAAAGCGGCATGTTCTACACTACAGAACGACAATTACCTAAGCAGTACATCCACTTTCAAGGTACGTATTGATCTATCTCACCATGGATTTGATCTTCCGATATTGCTGGGTGCTTAAAAATCGAATGACTGACAATAGATCATCTGTTTTGGTACAGTAATCGATATTCTAGATGATAGCGAAGTTCCCGATTATGATATGGATTCAGATGACGAAGAATTTCTTAAAAGTTTGCCCAAGGATGATGTAAATTTCCATTCAAATTATTGGCTAATCTCCATTTCTTGAAAGTTGTCATTCCTTTAACATTTTCACTGTTTAATTTTGCAGCAACTTGAACCTGAATCATTTGAACGTGTTATGGAGCAGCTAGAAAAAGCAACTGGAAATCAGGCATGTTACGCAGATCCTTCCTAACAATTTCTTACTTTATTTTTCAACGCTTTACCAATTGCAATTGATTTTTTGATGATATTCTAATTCTTAATGTTATTCATTAGATTGTTACTTTTAATGGAGCCAAAGCACTCATTAAATTTGTCAGCGAGAGTGTTTTACAAGTATTGTACGATTATTGGCTAAAGAAAAGAAAAAAAGTGGTAAGCACAATGCGGCGTCAGTTTCGTTTTTCGAAAATTGCATGAATTAAATACGGCAATTTTTACAATGGAATATCTATAGGCTGGGGAGATACTGTATCGAGTGTTGACAGAGAAGAGAGATGGATCATCCCCAAACAATCCTTATGTTGCTTTCCGACGTCGAACCGAAAAGATGCAAACTCGCAAGGTTATTATCAGCAAATGCTATATAATCTACTAAAATTCTCATTTTACATCATGTTACAATATTATCTCATTGCTAAACGTGCATATATACAGAATCGTAAAAATGATGAATCTTCATATGAAAAAATGTTCAAACTAAAGAGAGACCTAGAGAACGTGGCGTAAGGGAGATGCATTGTGCTGTTATTGTTGAATACTGTAGAATTTTAGCTTCAACTAAAGTATTCGATGTTACTTGTTAACCACTTTTCTTTAATATTCGCTACTTTTACTATATCGTTAGGCGTATATTGGATTGCGTGGCTGATAGGGAAAAGTATAAACGTAATATTTTAGATGTTAACCGAAGTGTTTTTGAAACAAGGTAACGAGTCTTTTGTTAAATCAGGATTAATATGTATGTTAACAGTCTCGTTGTCTTACTCAATTGAAACAGGTATAAGTTAGATGACTATTCTGGTCAAATTTATCGCCAGCTGGAAGAGCAAGCTCTGATTAAGCGTAACCAACATATGCAAGTAAAGACTGCTGGATCATATGGAAAGAACGAGGAATCTTTGCTGTCAGCGAAGAGTGGCGAAAATGATAATTGGAAAGATTTAATCCAGCCAATCAATGTATGTACATTTTTATTTAGTGATATTCCTTTTTATTACTCGTGTTTTAGACGGCATAGCTATAACAGTCATGTTCTTTACAGGGAGAACTGAAATCGACTCATACATCGAAAGCCAGGACAAAGTACGTAAAAGTGCATATTGGAAATAGCCTGATAGCAACTTTTTAGTTATCATATCGCCAATTTAATTAGCGTTTGTTGTTATAGGCGAAAAGAGAAACATTCAAATAAAGTTTCGGCGCTAGTCAAAGAAGGGGAGCATATGCGTCACCGTGTTGATGCTAGCACTGAACAGGCTGCAGAACAAACAAGGCCACAGTCACCTGTTCGTGAAGTAGATGTAATTTAATTTCATTAAAATTTGTGTAGGGTTTCGTATGTATTTACCTATTTGTTATTTTATGTTTATTTTATTTCTACGATGCATGCTATCAGGTCTCACCGGCATCTTCTACAGCTGAAGACGAATTACACGAAGAGCCGTATCAATTCAGAAGGCTGGAAAACGGCACATATCATAAGGTTAATTGACTGTTTTGTAAAACACTTTTATCATCTTCTGTTTGTTACATTAGTATTCATTTATTAGGCAAGCAATGGCGAATATGATCTGTTAGACTGGAGTAAATGGTTAGAGCCTGAAGAAAACGAACTTAATTCACGTTATAGTGATATATCAATCTTAGAGGGTAGACTACAGGGTAAAGGTCGTAAACGGGTCGGCCGATGTGGACGGTAAGCAGCTTTTGATAAAGGTGTTAGAAATTCAAAGCAGAGATGAGCACATTTTGTATTTCGATTTTAAAGCTGACGAAATACTTTCATTTTTACAGCCTCTGGCTAGATGTGATTGATGTTAATCTTTCCGCGGATTTGATAAGCTATCCAGTAATTGATGATGACAGTAATGAGAAAAAGACTATTAGGTTAGAATTTTATTCCTTTCATAAGGAAATGATTTCGCCGACGTAATGCATGAATTTATATTTCACAGTTCATTCAGTATTGAAGCAGTAACTGGTCCCGAGAAGTTGTTATCAGATTGGTCTCAAATGTTAGATAACAAAAGATTAAAAGGTGATAACACTTCACCGAAGACACTTTTTAAATTAGTTGATAGTGCTGCTGTAAAGTATGACAGCCTAGATACCTATGTTTCGAGCTCTATGCCGTCCCCGTGTCAAAATGGTATTAATGACAGTTTTGACAATCCACAAATTGAAAAAATGGATACATCCGCAGATAATCTCGAATATGTCAAGTCAGAGTTTGACATGACTTCGCATGAATCTTTAGCAGACTTGGATAAACCTCTGAAAGATCTTTCTTCTCCATTGTTCGTCCCATCTGCAAAGCAACTGAAAGAAAAATGGATGCCCTCCAGTAATCCTAGCCGCGGTATAAAGCGAAAAGTATCCATTGATTCTAACTCTGTAAGCGCCAGTATTGGAGATTTTCTCGATAGCTAGATACTTGGTTTATAATTTCAACAATTAATTATAATATAAGGCTATCATGTCGTTGTTAAGAGTTAATAAGTGATTGATTACTTCCATATTATGAAGCTTCCTCTGAGATCTTCATTTTAGTGGCTATCGTGTGACGATAGACATCCACAACTTTTTATAGACATTTCTTATACATAAACCGCATTAGTGCATTCTGTACAATTTTGACATTTAGTTCATTGAGCTAATATAATATACTATATATTGAAATTTTGCAATTTTTTTGTATTAATAATTAATGGTTGGTAATGTTATTGTCGAGTATCGTCGTGGATCTACTCAGTAGGCATTGAAACTAGGATAAGTTAATGTACAGTCACAAATTATAATTATTAGCTTCGATGTTACTATAGTTAGGATTCGCGTACTTTTGCTAAATTTTTGACAATTGTATAAAATTGGTTTTGTACCATATCAATAACATAAATGGTATCTTTGTATAATATCATGCTATATAATATTTTATTCTTTACTGTATATTTTGTTGCAAAAATTGGTATAAGTGTCTTCTATACATTTTTTATAAAGCTTATTATTGTAAATCTTTTAAGTTATAGCATGGTTCTTGATTTTATCTACATTCAAATTGATTTAATGGCTGTGTTCGTACTACTGCTAAAAGTTTTAATGATGATTATTTCGTATCAGTAAAGACTGTGTCGGAATGTTAACGACTAATATATGACCATATAAATAGCATTGCTAAAGTTTGTATAATATTTTTTGGTATTGTACACTTTTATTTGTATCAATAAATCAGTATGCTGTCAGCAGTTTAGCATGTAGTCGTTATGTGTTCCACTTCTAGGGTAATCCTCATAGACCATCCGTAGCTTTGCCAACAGTAAGTAACTAATGCTTGCTCAATTGGTAGTTGCGTATAATTCGTATGTCGGTACTGTATAGAGTGTTACGGTTATTATTTACGATTAGTTACATCATTACGTTAGTAGCTTGTTGTACCGATCTGGATACCGTAGAACATAAAACCACCTCATTGAGATGATTCAAACTGTAAACGCACCTGCAGTATGAATACTTTCGAAACTTGCAGATAATCTTCCATTTCGGTAATGCAGTGCATTTAGGTGAACTATCAAGAGCAATTATTTGCTAGTCAATCGATGTGATAATAATCTCGATTCTGATGTTAAAACTTTGGGGTGAAGATTATGTACTCGTATATATGATCCGGGACTTTTCGATTGTATACGTGGTCTGTAGCACACATACTATAACAGTGCAGGTAGGAGTAGGACTATATCAGTGCAAGTATGTTGCCCTAAGTACATCTGCTACACATTTAATGTTATATGATTACCATACCAATATCAACCATTGTAATTGAAAAATGAGCATTTAATTAATGAGTGGCTCAGATTTCAACAAGGGCTGGTAACATAATATTTATACAGTGCAGTTACTGCCATAATGTAGGAAATATTAATGGCCAACATGTTTTCAGTGAAAAAGATGAGGTAAACTGATCATATAACACTTACAGTATTTTCTTGGTGCATAAAAGATTTGATAGGAAAGGATCGACGTAAGCCAATCTTGAGCTAAACAGCCTTCTAAATTGCGCCTACAGTACGCTTATATTGTATGCCTAACGATGAATCGAAACTACTATTATTTTTGGAGGAGTCTCTGAGAATTGTAATTAAAATAGGTAATTTTTTCTTTTTAATAATTATCTATGATTCCTGAATCGCTTATGAATACCCGTAGTCCCTAGAAATTTACGGCTTAATCCGTAAGTTGAGCATGGAGCATTGTGTGTGGGTAATTTCATAACTTCAATGTTAACTATTAGCGGTCTCTACCTTTGTATTACTACGCCAACTATACAGAACAGCCACAGGACCCATAAACAAGTAGTAGTTCTACAGTTTTCTAAAGCTTTGAGTTAATATGTAGTCATCCATAGACCCTCATCAACGTGACTTATCCAAAATTTTGGTCTAAAAACTAAATTAGGCATCACCGCACCATCGCATTTCAGAACCGGAACTGTAAGATCAATCGAGCAAGATTCGTTTTATTAGCACAGTATACGAGTATCTTGGTGGACGCATTAGCGCAGCGGAGATCTTACTTTACCGCTATACTCAAGCTCAGTCCATTATACAACAAGATACAAGGAAAGAAATGAACATGGAATGTTGCCATAAATGGATTAGGCCGATGGAAAAAATACTACGATTTTTTCCAATGCCAATTTGGAGTGAGTGCTGGACATTTTGGAAATTAGTTCTACACCATTCCTTGGCAGTTACAGTGCAGTAGCGCAAGTTGGTCATACAGTAGCAGAGCTAATATACACTGTCATATGTGTTAAAGCAAACTCTGCTGCGCTGGACCCTTTCTTGTCTACAGCCATAGTACAGTTGCTATGGAGCTCAATAGTGATCACTTTCATTGCCTGTTCTGCAAAATCTCGTCGATCGGAAATGAACTGTTTTAATTTAGCAGTAGTTATAACATCTTATCTCCCAGTTTTAACTGCGTTCCACTCTAAAAGCTTTGAATTGAGCAGCAATGACCACAATCGCCGGCATTGACTATGGAAGTTACCGTCAATAGAAAATAGATCAGGAAGACCAAGTAGCCATTATTATGCGACTCTTCTATACTGATGTTGCCTACAGCCTAACGTGTCTTGTTTCAGTATGGCGCTTGGCTCTGATCCGAGTAGTCCAATTTATTGCGCTGCTATGACTTATTTACCATACAGTATTTCATTCTCCTGCATTGTCAACACCGACGTAAACATTGTGGAAGGATTATTGAATTCATATATAGCATCACTGTCGAAGGATTTACTTTCCAAATGGAAATAGGATGGAGGCTACCAAATTGCCCACGATGAACAACATTACGTACCAAAGATTGCTACAAGAGAAAATTTCCTATTCAGAAACACTACATGAGCAGCATTACAAGAAAGAAAGAAACCATTTCATGGATAGAATCTACAAATATCGTGTGATAGCCAATATTACCCGCTACCGTTATATTTATATTATGCTCAGTTTAGCAATGGCTGGTGGAATGATGGAAATGTTTCCCAGGTTACTGCTGTTGATTGAATTGTAGTACTCTAGTACGCTGTATTGATGTTAACAGTTTTGATCGATATGTCGTCCATGCAATGCAATTTCCTGCATGGTTACGTATCATTACTTCAAATATGGCTTGTATAGTGTAGTGGAGTAACAATGAAGGCTAATTGGCTAGAGTTAAGATTACGAGAGTCAGGCTAGCCAAATTGTTGACGTATGCTATGAGATGCTGAGATGAATGATTTAAACCTTTGTCTCATATAGGCTGTTGGAGAGAAAGCTACTAGTAATCCCATTTTCAAGTATTGCAGTGGCTACGATTATCGGATGCTTAATGATCTTGCTGTGCTTATTCCAATTCGTCTCAGTATCACCAGGTAGGTGCCCGTTTGCACTTTCTTGACGAGGACGATTGAGTAATTGTAATGTTAGATAGCCAATGCCAGAGATAGCTTGCCTTAGAGAAATTTTGAATACTAATCTGTTCTCATCTTTGAATGATATATTACTGTAAAGTATTAACAGCCTCATCGGATCTTAGCTAGTCACAAAGCATACGATATCTAATTTAAATCTGGCAGTAAGTTTATCACTTACCAATTGTAAGCTTTCGATCCAGTGAACAGAATTGGTCATACTTTTTACTTCGTATGAATTGTAAGCAGGTCGTATAGTAAAATCCCGAAGACTATACTATAGGTTACACTTTGTAGCGTAGCAAACGCAATAAAGTCATGCTATGATTACTTACTGCTAGTACGTAAGTTTAGATTTCAATTCTAGACCTCCTTAATTGCATTGCCACATATACGCGTACATATTTATAATTTTACTATTTATACATTGAAATAATGCGCTGGTGTCTTGATTAAGCACTACCAAGTCATGCATGACTCCTGTAGATGATTAGGCTTGAAGTATCTTAGACAACTAGTAAGTTGCATGCTTTAGAAATTTCTTTTCCTTGTTGACATCTGTTTTGCAAAAACGATTCAAACAGACTGGAAATTGGTTGATGAAAATGTTGCAGCGATGGCAATATTTGCACCGCTGATATTCTGTTTGCTAACTGATATTTGGCCCATCTACTTAAAACCTGGTAAACTAACGTGCATTACTCTTTAATGTTAAAATAGAAAGTCTCGATTTGTTGAGAATTAGATTCAGTTTGTTGCTTACCCAATACTTAATGTTAATTGCTTTATTTTCAGTAATCTGCTACTTATGCATAATGATGCATGCGTGCCTAATCCCTAAAACTCTTCGAAAAGTTAATCCAGTAATTACTGTGTAATGTCATCGAATGCAATTAAAAATTTATAATAGATTAAAATTGATATACTTGTGATAAATTAAGCAGATACCAATATGTACGTTGATTGAATGGCATTGTAAGTGTATTTATTATCATCGAACAATTATAATTATCAGACTAGCGTATGTTATGAAAAGCCTGATGGCATTAGAATATGCTATTTTAGGTAACTTTGTGAAGCATACGAGGTTATACATATTTATTATCCATTTTTTACAAGCTAGCAAGTAAGGAATCTGATATCTGTGGATACTTAACTATTTATCGGTGTACTATTACATGGCTTTTATTGCGCATTAACGCGCTATGCAACAATCCAAAATGCTACTTATAACAGCAATTCATTACTTAAAATTACTGTAAATAATGTAATTCACAAGATAATATATAATGGTCTTAGAACAAGCTAGCAAGCAAAAAGTAAATACTTTTACCTTTTTAAATAGAAAAGTGTTGATGGTATGCTCCTACAATAGATACTGTAGGTTGGCAATATCAATAAATTAAGATTACAGCAATACATAAGCGTAGAGCATTGCTACAAAGTACGGAATCAACAGAGTATCATACATATGTTGCAGATTGAAATTTCGGTTAGATTAAATCATTGCAATTATAATCCATATTATACAAGATAATGCATATAATTCACTACAGTTCATGGGTGCAACGGGGCATTATTCCATAAGTATTGTACTTCCATTTAAATTTTGGATCACTTATTGCCAATTAACCAAGATAATTTACACGGTAATATTTTTTTATCACGGCCTTAACAGTATCTGTAATATATTAATAACATAACAATAATATTTCATAATAATTAATTTTATAATCAGTATTATATAGTTATATACGAGCGTATAAGGTTATGCTATACCTTAACGATTGAATAACTTATCAATTTGGTGAAATACTAACTATTATATGTATCCGATGCAAAACTGTATTTCTATTCATGATTCTACGAATATAAACAATTCGCAAGATAAATCCGTAAGAGAGGCATTAAATCTACCTTGTAGAATCCATCATGACTTATTAGCGGACTTATGATTACCTTGAGAGACAATCTTCTACGGTCTGTATGTTATGACAGTACATAACTTTATATAACGTGTAGCACAGCCGAAGTGTAATGCATACAACAATCATGGTATGACTTAATAATATTCGACATTGTTGATGATTAAAATACGAAGGATTAATTATATTATATGCCAATTTTAACGCAATTTTCGGTGTTATAAATACAATTATAGTTCAAAGAACACCTTGAAATAGTAAATATCGGGTTTAATGAATTAATAGACTGAATATTAATGTTAGGCTGAAACAATATTTATAAGATAGAATTCAGGAAGCATCCTATTTTATTTTATCTATTTCTATCACAAAATCATCATCGATGCTATTATTAAGGAGTCAAATTTACACAATTGACGAAAATTAGATATCGGATATACAATATCAATTATACAGGGATATTCTTGATTAGCACATATCAAATTGGCTAATCTGGCCTGGTTGCCCATCCAGTAATGTTGAAGGTACGCCGACATATTGGCGATTATTTTGAGTGTTTTGTTGCTGCTGTTCCATAACTACATTCGATTGCTTTACTGATTGAGATGGAATATCAGTACGCATACCAACGGAATGAGGTTCTAAAATCGGCATGTTGGACATCATATTTATACTATCATTTTGATTATCAATGTTCATATTTGTCGATAATTGCATATTGGATGTAGGATAATTTAATGACCCATCATGCTGTTGCATGATTTGAGGATTAGAAGACATGTCATTGTAAATTAAATGTTGAGATTGTGAATTCATTTGAAGATTGGATTGATTATAACCAGTTACTGGAGATTGATTACTGCCAGACGTACAGATTGGTCCCGAATTATTCATGTACGCAGTAGAATTGACTTGCATATTGTAGCGATTATTATTGTTGTTATTGTTAAGGCAATAATCTGACATTCCAGCCTGTGCAGTCTGTCCAGTACTGTGTTGACGAACAAGCTGCGAATGGCCTTGGATCATTACTGCTGAATTGCTTCTTGAGAGGTTATTTCCATAAGAATGCATTACTTGTGGAATTTGTTGATTTTGTGGGCAAGTTGATTCAAGTTGATTATCCAAATTGTTTGACATAGTAACGGTGTTGGAATTCATCGGATTGCCTGCCATGACACTTGTTACGGGTATCATTCGTGGAGTTGTTGGCGATGAATAATTATAAGATGAACCAGAGGGTGACATACTATAGTAATGGCAATCATCAGAAGATAATTGCTTTTGCATATTCGCCACATCACTACTTAATAAACCATCTGCAGCAGGATTTTGGCTGTGTTGAGGTTGTGCGGAGTTAATGTAATAATTTTGGCATGTATTATTACCTGAAGAATACATATTGCCTGTAGGAGATTGCGGCTGAGGAGTTAAGTTCATAGAATTTACCGTCGAACTATCCATCGTATTCACACCACTCATGAACATATCAGCCGGATTATTTTCAGCTTCGTTTTCTATACCAACATAATTAAGATCTGGAGGTGTCAATATTCTATTTGGATGATTTGATTGATCAAGCATCATATAATTTTGTTGCTGTTGTTGATCCATGTTATTCATATTTCCCATAGTACCCTGTATAGCTCTATTTGCAGGTATATTTGCTGTACAATGGGGTACATTTAACTGTTGCTTTGTTAAAGTTGTTGGTTGCATCACCTCATACGAATTATGAGATTCGATTGGCGTAGTTGGCGCAGTAGTATTTCGGTAAGCTTCGATACATTCTCCAATTTGGCAGTTATTACTTGACGGTGAAGAATAAGAATGATTATTTAATTGTGTAGGTAATAAGTTTGATGATGGTGATCGTTGAATACCTCCAAGTTGAACAGGCTGATGAGTACCAACATCGTATCCAGTAGATGAGTTGGCTGTAAAGTAATTATTAGTATAGTTGACCATAGTGGGAGTTCTTGGGGTAACTTGATTTGATGCTACAGCGACTTTAGCAGCCGGAGTAGGCATGATTAAATGCGTATTGTAATCAAAAGATGGGCTAGGTGGTCGATTATCGGTACTAATAGGCGTTGTAGGAATCTGTTTTAAGGGTATATTCATGACATCGCTTAATGAAACATCTTCAATATCCATAGAAGAAAGTCTTTTCCTTGATTTTTTCGCCTTTGATTTTTTGCCTAAATCGAATAGACTGTCGTCATTGATATCTTCCACAGACAGAGCCATCGTATCGCCATTTCCAGCTTTATTGGCAGATCTTTTCTCTTTCCGTTTCTGTGGAGTACGAGTGTTGTCAGCGGATGTATTTGAAGTGTTTACCACTTTGAGTTTCCTTTTTCCTTTATTGCCTGAAGAAACGTCACTTTCGATAGAAGAAATCTTTCCAAAGGATTGATAGTTGTCTATTTGATTGATTGTATCGTCCTGTTTCGGTAGATTTTTATTGGTGTTATTTTTGCCCCGCTTGTTATTGTTACCCTTGTCGCTGGTTATTTTATCTCCTTCAGTACTAGTTTTATCATGAAAATTGGGTTCACTTTTGATCAAAGGCTCAACATTGAGGGTTCCTTTCTTCTTGACTCTTTTATTATCTTGTGTCTTGTCTTCCAGAATACTTTTTAAATTCGAATCACTTCTATTGGTGTTGCAATCGCCGTCAGCCACTGGCTTTATATCAGTTTGACTAATGTAAGACTTTTTCTTTTTGTAGTTGACTTTCATTCCTAATATGATAAAACAAGCAATAACTTGATGAAATCCAATTCAATTTCAATGAACTCTACATATAGTTATTATCCAAATATAGTAGTGTTAAGTCGATATGATGTTATGGCAGAAAGTTTCGATTTAATCTTATACTGTAGACAGTACTGGATTATCCTAGAACTCCTTGACTCTACAATACAGTATATACTCGATCAAAATTTAAAATTTACTCTTGAACTCAAGAGTAGTTGATATTTGAAAGCTGCAATTCAGCTACTGTATACAGGATAAATATTAACATGATTAGAATGGATGATTATTCAATATGTTGCTAAAGCAGCCGCATCAAGCTGCTTCAAATACAGTAGAAAGGTGATGTTGATTACTGGCTGGTAGATTGATCGATCGTATCACTGTAATGCTGCTATTCAGTAAGCGTCATTAGACATTCATACCTTCTTTTAATTCATATTTTCTTGGTCTACCACGCCGAATAATAGGACAAGTACATAGTTTGCTTTTGCTTTTTTCAAATGGTGGTTCCATTTGCTTAACATCAAGGCTAAATGTGAATACTCGATCTAGGAATAGTGGGCATTGTAAGTTACATTTACAAGTCCCGTCTGAAGTGACATATTTGATAACATCGGACATGTTCCAAAGTTTATCCTTAGTTGGGCTATAATACGATGAAATAATATGAAAACGTTGATTCAATATAGCTTTCAAATGTGAATTATTCTTTTGAAAGAACATGAAACAAAGACTAGCACACACTATGAACAAAAAAGAAAAATATCAAATGATGGTTGGATTACAACTTCAATTTGGCTAGCCAATAAAGGCTAGTCAAGTTGTACGAGAGATAGTGTCTTCATGCTACTGTTCAAGGAGATAAATTACTCCATTACTACTTACTGTACCATGTGGAAAAAGATGAAAGGACAACGATCAATACAGATCGCCAATATCAATACTAAATGTACTTTGAAAACGTCCCACTTTCAGCATGAACTTAACATGATAAGGACGTGTATATTGATTGTATTGTATTGAAAGTGATAGACTGATAGGTAGAAAGTGCAGCAGTTTTCAAGTAGTGTCGAATTAGAATGATGCCTAACAACATGCTTGTTCCACTGATGTATTTTCTAGCATGATGACTATGGAGAAAGATAATTGACCGATCGAGTTGAGCCAATAGTTGCATCATTTTACCTGACATAGTAGATTGTATTATTATCTCGAATACGCTTCCAACCGATAGGAACCATGGTGATGGCCTCCGTGGAAGATTGAGACGATGATGTTAAATCCATACCAATATGAAGTCGTGTTGTTTTGGTATGGCAATGATTGAGCAATGGTGTAGGATAAGAATATCAATGATGCGTCGCTAGTCCACTTGCAATACGTTACTGCATTCAAGATGACAAGACAACTTGTATCAATGGCGATCCAGTAGTGATCGGAGTATGATTGCGCTTGGACTTGATGGTAATCAATGTTCTTGTGGTGGGATTTAGCAGGTTGAAAGGAGGAAGAATAATTTACAAGAGAATCATGTATGTTGGAAAGGATGATCGATACATGGATTGGTCAATCTGATGTAATAAATTGAAATAGAATGATGGTGTGGGCTATCGTGTACCACTATCAGCCCCACCAAGACTGCCACGACACAAGATACGTCTCCCAATGGATATCCAATTGAATCAATGCCCAACAACAATTTGCTCTTGTTGTTTATCTTGACAATTGAAATGATGGAAAAGATTTTTTTATCCACGCTTTGTCAACAAGCAAAACGGTTGAAAATCAAGCTTAAAATGGTTTTACTCTCTGCTCATCAATCTCTTGTCTACCAATTCTTGTGCAAGATTGAAAATCTGACGTCATCTTTCAAATCTTTCTTCGCCTTTTGTCGACGCTATTTTGATGCCTTTTGATACCTGGCTAAACTCGCATTCTCTCTCTCCTTCAGCTTTTGCAATCGACCCAAGTTGTCCAAACTACAGATGTCTACCCCGAGTCGATGGCTATCCGTGCCCCCACTCACGACGCCTTTCGTATGGAAAATCAACACTAGTATGCGTACTCTACCCACAATTTATTGTCTTGGACGTTGGCAAGCATTCAAGTCGTGGACGGAGGGGGGGCATCCAAAGCTTGGTCTTCGGACAGACAGCCATGGAAGAGAGTGGGGACAGGTTACGCCAGTGGTCGAGTGTCACCTACTGACCATTCAGGGATGTGGGCGTCAATTCGGATACAGTACCTATGGACACCATCCATAGTACTGTACTCTACAGTACAATGGACAGTATCCAGTAGGCAGTGAGTGCTGACGACGGAGTACCTGTGAGAGAAAAACTCTGCACCTGTTTGACACTGACAATAACCTGGACAGTGTCCAGACGGAGTCCCAGACATGGGGTGGCAATACACCTTCAGATTGGCGGTAGTCGGCCCAAAACAACACCGATAGAGCACACGGCCATGGACGACTTTTCAAACATTGCTCCACTTGGGCTTGACAATCTCACTCAAACCAATTCAGTTTAGTCCATTTGCAAGCCGTGTAAGTTAGCATCATTGCCAGAAGAGCATCAAGTTTCTTGAACATGTGGAAACTACAAGTACAGTCTTTCTTGTTCAACTTGCGCTCTGTGCCATTGCTCTTGCAACAATATCAAGAAATTTCTTTTGTACCTTTTCATCAAGACAGGGACTAGTCTACGGATAGAGTTACCCAAAAACATAAAATCATCTTTTATTGCCTAAAATAATGTTTTCTTAAACAATGAAATTGAAAATTCGTTGTAGTCTACTCAAGAAGGTATTGCAGCTTAAGTCTCCCAACAGACTTCACTTCACTACATGTACAGTATATTATAATGTCATACATATACATGATATGTATGGCTAATTTCCAAGGCCGGACAATCCGAGAATGGTTCAAAATTGACAGGCTGACTTGTAAAGTTGAAAAACGATGGATGCGGCTCTCGCCGGGGCTAATGGCCAATGGTAAGGTTGAGTTAGGGGATGAAAAAAAAAAAGAGGAGTAAAGACCATTCTAATAATAGTAACTAGCAAATGTTCAATTCATTTGCTTTTGTACAGTCTTACAAGACTTTTCATCTTAAGCAAATTGCAGACTGCTCTTACAAAGAATGGAGAAATTGGCATTGCATGCATGCAAATGCAAATGATTACAAAAATTGGCAAGCAATGGTTGTCATCACAAAATTGCATTTGTGCATAATCACTTTAGATACAGGGCCTCTATCCTGCGCGAGATAGATAGTTCAGCAAACCGTCAATGAAATAAATTCTTTCCAAAATAAACTACTGTAGGTTGCAAAAATTGGCAAGCAGTTCTTGTCATCACAAAATTACACTTGTGCTTAATCACTTTAGATACAGGGTCTCTATCCTGCGCGAGATAGATAGTTCAGCAAACCGTCAATAAAATAAATTCTTTCCAAAATAAACTAGGTTGCAAAAATTGGCAAGCAATTCTTGTCATCATAAAATTACACTTGTGCTTAATCACTTTAGATACAGGGTCTCTATCCTGCGCGAGATAGATAGTTCAGCAAACCGTCAATAAAATAAATTCTTTCCAAAATAAACTAGGTTGCAAAAATTGGCAAGCAATTCTTGTCATCATAAAATTACACTTGTGCATAATTACTTTAGATACAGGGCCTCTATCCTGCGCGAGATAGATAGTTAAGGAAACGCGGTCAATGAAATAAATTGTTTCCAAAATAAACTAGGGTCAAGGATTAATTCGTCGTTCTATTGTGCGCCGCCACACTCAAGGCTGTGGCCATATCCTTATCAAACATCATTTACACCATTGCTGAAATGGAACAATTGAACATATTGTCCATTGCTTGGCCATTTTGATGGTGTTTATTTGATCTGAAATAAAAGTTACCAACTATGAACAGTGCTTATAGACATACCAGTGCCGTTGGAATAGCGGGTTACACAGTAAGAGCTTAATTAAACAAGCTTTACAATAAGCATCACTGTATATCAAAGCTTTTTCCAAATTGGATTTCGATGCGATAGCTATTTTAAAAATCGATCGTAAATCACTAACCAAGGGCCCTTTCTGCACTGTACATTATGTGCATTCGACTACCGACGGCGTTAAAGGACAAAGAAACAGTAATGCAACTAATGGCATCGCTAGTGTAGCACTAAACTGAGTCGGTGATCTATGTCTCTTTCTAGATACTTCAGCTGATAGTTTGGTATCATTAAAGTAGTGTATTGTTATACTATTTCAGACATCTACAAGTATTCTATCTATTTTCCAATAAAGGATCAATTTTTCCTTCCAGATAGGAAGAAATAGATGTTGATATAATACAGTTTACGCGTTCCACTGGACGTGTGATATTACCTATATGGCGGCAGTCGGTCATGGCTTTCATCATTTCGACTACAGCTGGTAGCTGGCAGGGTGCTATCAAGTATTTGAAAGCGTCGGTAACAATTCACTTGCTGTGTTAGCAACATGGATAGTAAATTCATGCCCCATAATTGCCCACTAGTTGTATAATGAAACTTTTTCAACGGAGAAAAAAAATCTCCTTTAGCCATACAGTAGAGGACTGCATGGGAAATATCGAGGTCAACAACAAAGATCAATTTTAATGATAAAAAGCTTTATTCGAAAATTTATTGTGCGATAGTGATTAAAATAGAAGAATGGAAAAAAGTTTGTTCAATTAAGCCGAAGCCACGCATAAATCTTCCCAGAATCCACTTTTATTGCTTGAAGTATTAGCTTAAATAGGCGGAATTGATCATGCCTTTATTTGTAGCCAAATGCAAATCTGCTCGATTAAGGTACTTAAGACAACAGTCTTTCCTAACAGTGGACAAAGTAAACGCTCTGCTCTACTATTCTACAATAAATGACTACAAGTCATCTGTTTTATCAAATTATGCAACCTTGACGATACTAACGATTATTAATAATGAAGCCGGTTAAAATTTGTGAAGACCGTATGACGATGCCAATAGTCATCTCAGCAATGAAATACAATTACTTACTGTAATTTTAAGGATATGTAATGGGGAAGTCGCCATTACTACTGTAGGTCGCGTTCCCAAGTATAAACTGGTAATTGGCTTAAAGCAGGATAGTGTTTACAATTAGTATTCAGAAGTAATATTAGAAATGAAAAATGGAATCTCTCCACGAATTAAAATCAGTATTTCCTTTTCAATCATTGTGAACTTTTATCATTCAACGCCGACTAATAATATAAGTATATTTATGGGCGTCCACTTAACTTTCCATAAAGTTCCTGTAGCTGTCAAATTGTAGAATACTGCTACTGTAAATTATAAATGAATTCAGTTGCAGACTTTCAACGGCAGATACGTAATTTCACTTGATTTCAATTGGATTAAATTTACTTCATACGAGTTGGCATACAATCTAAACCGGCACATTAGTATCGCTTCCTATTGCAATTGCTATCTAAAATGCAATGCAATTGGCTAAATTCGAGCCACGTTACGACATCAGCATAAGACATGAAATTCAGCAATCCTGTGGATTGGCAAGTTTAGATTTCTATATACTTTTGTAAATATTCCTACTGGCATTAATGACGCTTTCTAGTTTTCGATGATATGCAAGCGAATTAGACTAAGTTTAAATAAATTATAATGCTTTTATCTAAAAGTTATAAAATTTGTAAATAAAATGTGTAAATTAATGGGTAGTTAGATAAGTTTAGATTACGTATTAACAGAAAGAAAGAAAATAAAATATTGAAAAAATAGATTCATATAAATCGAGGAGATACAATAAAAGCCCGTAGGTTAAAGACTGGCTACTCGAAGACAGTGCTGTACAGCTTTAATATTTAGACTGTACCTAATATGTAATATTACTGTACCAAGATACTATAATGGAGTTTTTTGTCTTATGATTGTAATAGTACAACGTTGTACGCCAAAGTTTTAATTTTGAGATCGTTAATTAATGTTAACATTAAATGGACAAAGTTTGCTCACGATAAGTCAACTATTACGAATGTGAAATCTTCGCTTATTGCAGTAATCAGTCAGCTCAGTGTTCACTACCCTAGCAATTAATTGGCGTAAAATATTATTCGCAATAATTAAACTTTAGTCAATTACAAATTGACTTTAGTAACATGGCTTTTGCCAAGTGCTTTTATCTATAGCAAAGAGATGATATTAATTTGCGCTCGTAAGATAGCTCGATTAATTCAAGCGATGAGATTACAATAGGTAGACGAAAATAAAATGAATCTCGAGTCCTGTTTTTTAGGAGTATCGCTACGAATCTAAAAAGGCGTTGACTATTTCAATATTTGCAATTTCAGCATCAGGTATATTTGAAATTGATCATGATAACATGCATGTTATTACCTGATCGTTAAAGCATTTTTAATTTAAAATCTAATCAACATTTACTGCAATTTTTATCTATTCACAGTTAATGATTATAGTAGAATGACCCACAAGATTTAACCAGAAAATCAATCGGCCATCAACTTACTGATACTAGTGTTGGACAGCAGGAATCACCAAAATGTTACCACATTTTATGCCGTTTTTATTTAAATTATCGTTGATACCATTAATAGTCTGTGAAATTGCAAAAACAGTGATTTGAATATCGCCTTACTTGTCAATAAAACAAAACAATAGAAAAAATGAGGTTTCGGTACGAGAATGTAAAACAAATCAACCATGAAGCAGTAGAAATGATACATAATGTCATAAATTCATACACTTCATTAATTAGAATACGTAATAAGAGATGGCAAACAATTATTTTAAAGAAATTCCTTTATTTGTTATATAATACTGCACACATTGTAAATTATAATGCACAAATTATTTTAAAGTTATGTTTGATAGTCAGTTCCAGTAATTAGCACTGGCATAAGATATAGAGTAGTTCTTGTCGTACTGGTTGTATACTAGGCTATCATATCAACTGGCCAGAAAAATTCAGCACATATAACGGTAACAAAATAAATACTAGAGGTCATATGCAATTCTAAATTTAAGAAAGCCGACATACAGTCAAATAACAAGCAGAATAGACGACAAAAATGAAGAAAGAAAATTCAAAAAAGCATCGATTGCACAACATGGTCAAACCACAATACGCTGTCTTAACAAATTTAAGTACAAGATGTCAATCTCTCATTATTGTAAGTCTCGCCGTTATCACCATAAAGATTTTTCACGGCAAAGGTGTCTACTTTCATTTACAGGCGGTATAGATACTCACAAAAATGACCAAGTATTCTGCACTTGTAAATATGCCCTGATTTACTTTGACATAGTCAATCAAGGTATTATCAAACCTTATCTATCGATAGCCCACTAATACTACTGTACTACAGGTGCATAAATTCTAATATTACATATTATTTAAGAACGCTTATTAAATGCAATAACGGCAATAATCATTACTTACTTTCATTTTGAGTATAGAAAGAATACATGAATTTAAAAGAACCTGATATAATAATTAAGGTATTTGTGGATTTTATGCCATTGTATCTGCTATATCATAATTTTACTTCGAATACCTGTAATACAATTTGCGTCACAGTATACGATAAATGAAAGAATTAAGAATGTACTAAAAAGTACTACAATACATCTTGGTTTAGGGTACAATCATAATGAAATTGCAGATTGCGTGCATACTGTACATGAAATACTTTAAACTATGTACTGCTGCACCATTGACTTAACATTAGCAGATATAAGCGGCATTTCTTTTTCGGATTTTGAATAGCCTACCACAAAACAATGATTTGAAAAGATACTAATTTAAACTTTTATCTTTCAATAGCCATAAAATTAAAAAGTGACACGAAGCTTTAACGTTTTGAATTAATTTATAAAAACCATTCTTTCGGATTCTTATCAGCGTTGACCGTATTCAAAGTTGCATCAGAATAAGCGTTAGTCTTGCCATATTCTGTATTAATCGAATATTTGCCTCTAGTTTTATTTGCAAATTTTATGTACGCCCACGCTATGATGACCATAAGAATAATTAGACCAATAACTATACCTACAATTCCACCTGGAGGGATTCCTACTAATTGAGTACTTGCTGTAGTAGAAGCTCCCGTACTTAGTGATGTTGCACGAATTGAAGGTGTAGTAGGCGCCGGAGTCTTTATGACATTACCGGCTACACAAACTGATTCTGTTGCTCCTTGATTTCCAGAGTTAGGTGTTGATGTAATAGATGGATTTTGAGCATTACTAAACGCGTAAGCCATAATTGGTATGCCGATGAATGAAACGTTATAAACACACATCGAGGTTAATCTACTATTGCCAGAACTCCCTATTTGGACTGTCGGTAAATCTAAAACAGAAGGAATACTTCCTAACACATTGCGATCTCCATCGATTGAAATTGAATTGGTAGTTGGGCTAATAATGACTTGATGGCTTTGTTCGTCGCTTATAAATCCTTGTAATGGAGATCGATTGCTATTCACGGAAAGGTATGCCTGACCGTTATCTAGTCCAAATTCTATCTTTTGCCCATTGTTAGTCTGAATATCAAAAATTTTAATAGTTGTTGCATTGGAGACAAAATTAAAACTGATGTCTTGGGTGCCATCAGCAAGGCTAGCTAAAGTTTCATTTGCCTTGTATTCGATAATATTACCACCAGAAAAATGAGCTCCTTTTGCTGAAAGGAAATAATATCGATAGAATAAAACTTTACCATTTAGAATACTTATGACATTTCAGAAATTTAACCATTATAACATTCATCTCAATTTATGTATTTATAGGAATGAAACATTTCAGCAATTGCTGCTTACAATAATCACAATAACGAGTTCTTTATAATTGAAACTTACGTGCTTGGCATGTCCGTCCAGTCCATAAAGTATTCTTGCAGTCACACTGAAAGTTAAGGTAATCTCCAGTACAAGATGTATTATGTTGGCACGGACCTAAGGAGCATGCCTTACCACAGCCGCTTCTCACCCCGGCAATAGCAGCAACGATAGTATCTAACTTCTTTAAATTTTCGCCTATATATAAATCGCCAATACAACCTACATAGCCATTCATTCCACTGCTCATTTTCGCAGAAAAAATAACATTTTATAAAAACAATTAACTTCTATCGCATTTTACGATAAAATTGTATGGAAGATCAGATTTAACTAAGCAAATGTGTGCAAACTTACTTGGTAAGATCACCACCTAGCACGAGAGGACTATCGATATCAAGCCTTACTAACTGATAATTAGGTAGAGAAGAATTTGTAGCTTCCGGTTGGTCGTCAACTTTTAAGCTAGTGCGATATAACGCACAAGATAGTCGAATTCTATGCCACTCATTATCGTCAAAACCTGTGTTACCTACGGCTTTCACTTGAAGAACCTGATTGCCGCCACCTTGCCCAAGATTGTAATTTAACGTTATCAATTTTGGCTGCACGGCTAATCTTATGAAAGATCCATATCTACCAGTGTTCTTCAATAACACACCGTTACTAATACTAGATCTAAACGCTAGTTCTATGTAGCCATTAAACTCAGCTTGCCAAGTCGGGAATTGAACTGTTGACTCGCGTGTTGTAAACGTAATGACGTGCTTAGGATTTGCTAGATAACCATATAAAGCATTTAAATGTACTTAATAAAATTTTAGTTTATTCAGTAGTATTAAATCAACAGACAAGTAGGAATCACTAGTAGGCAGCGCTCGATAATACTATTAATCAATAATTAGCTCAGTATATTTACAAGCATAGCAATTACCTCTGTTTCTACAATTTAGTTTACCAAGAGAATAAAGTGCGAGTGGATTGCTTCCAATATCTTCGTAACCAAATTTTAGTTGTTTGACAGGAAGGCGGCTCTTATCTGTCAGAGCTCCGGAATCGTCCCGTACTGAATCATGATTGGCGTCACAATTGCACATTTTAGTCCTGTTATAACAACTGTTAGTAACACCACAACTACATTTCATTGAATTAGTAGGTGCTCCGCCCCAGCTTACAATTTTTTCGTCATTTCTTGATACCCACCAGCCGTAGGGGGTGTTAGGTGTATTAAGAAGAACTGATTTCATACAACGATACGTTACAGTTTGTGAACAGCTTTGAGAGATATCAGCTAAGGCAGCAGCTTGCCCAATGCTTATATTCTTTATAGATGATGCTGGGCCATCGCGGTAAATAATATTTGCAACGAAACTGCCGGGACCAATATATTGAGATGAGACGGGAACTCTCGCAAAGCCTTCCCGATTATTAGATACTTGAGTAGTAGCACGAGAGTCAGTAAAGCACTGAGTTGGGAACGGAAGATTGGGCCCATGAGGTCCGTCCGGATCGATTGTATACCAACCGGTTGGAGAGGAAGGGTTAGCGATAAAAATTTCTTCGCAATTTCTTCGATACTTATCTATTATTGATAGCATGATTGAATTGAATTTATATCGTTTTAGTATACAGTAGAAATTGATTATAATGAGCACTACAATAGTGAAGTATTTCGTTATGGTTTTGTAAGTGACTCACATGTTTGGCAATAGAAACCTTCGTAGTTGCTGTTAGTGCCGCAATTACAAGTAAATGAAGTGGAAGAACTAGTACACGTAGCGTTATTATAGCAAGGGAAGAATGGTTGACAGAAATTTTGAATGGGGCAACTATTAAGTGAAATACCACTGCGGATAAATTTATTACTACCAACTCGCTCTAAGACATTATCTATCTTTATGCCTCGTACACATCCAGTAAAGCTCCTTATATTTTTCAAACCGATAGTTATCTGTGGACTTTGTTGTGTCGTCAAAGTCTGGGAAAAAGTAATAACCGAAGAATCATCATCAACGTATACGCGAATGTTTGTACACGATGCTGTTAATTTAAGCAAATGCCAGGATCCATCAGCGACTTTAGGTTTAAAGTTGTGAACGTTAAAGGTGCCAAACAATAGCATTGTAACAATTCCTCCATTCAAATTAATAACAATACTATTCGTTGCATCAAGAAAAACTAATTCACGGTTATTTCCACTATCCGTAGTGCGAAACCAGAATTCAAATGAGTAGTCACATCGGCTAGAAGGGGTCCATGAAGTTGTAATACTTGAAGTTTCAGATCGAACTTGAGCCGCAACAAATTGTTCAGGCGTAGTTTCACAATCAGTGCTATTCGTAATTTTACCAACATAACCATAACTTACCTGGTTACTGAGTGCGTTAGAAAGGATTGTAATTCCATTGAAAACGACATAACGTAAGCAACCAGTATAGTTGCGTAGTGTGTATAAATTACTGGCTGCGTTAATATTGCTAGGGACACCACCAACGTATATCATCTGGTTGATAATGATACTAGCACGTTCACCTTGATCTCGGTAATCGTTAGGAGACCTAATGCCATCGACAGTCAAAGATCCAAAAAATCGATCGCGTGTAAATTCCACACGATGCCATTGATTGTCGGAAATTTTAACGCCATTGCTAATAATATAATCAGCTCCAGTTGTGCCACTAAATCGGATTCTTAGCCTGACATAACCTGCATGCAATTCTACTACTATATAATTATTATTTCCAGTAGCCATCAACAATACGCCGTCCGTAGCAAAAGTTTTTAATTGCATCGATATTGTATTAGTGAGTGAGGAAATGGTACGACTGGAAGTAGTATCGTAATACGCATATCCCAAACCATCAAAGTGACCATATGCATCTATATTGGTAGGAAAGAAATAAATTGATTTATACTTCTTGTTAACTTTGAAACTAAACTACTGTATCAGTGAGACGATGGAGCACTGTCATGGCAGCAGTCTACAGACGCAACCTAATGATATAGTTTACAATCGGTTAAGGAAACTTATCCTGTTGTAAAGTATTGTATACGTTTTATTTGGCCGACGATACTGCAAAGGTTAATCCACTTGAACATATGCATTAGAAAGCAGTAGAATAAAAACATGCACCATTTCGGAGTTCACTACAGCAGAATATTAATCATAAGTTCTTTATTATCCATCATGTATTATCCTACCCGGTTACACCAGTTGTTTATAGACTAAAAGTAGCCAATCGTAGGTAGCATACACTATTTAAATAATGAGAGAATGAAAACTAAAAATTGATAGCAGATAATTAATCGATGAAGGAACTAAGCATTTCTGAAGATGTAGCAACTACTGCAGTTAGTAATAATCTTAGTCTAGCAACTATAGTAGCAATAGTTTAACCCAACCCTTCTCTATCTCATCTTGGCCTTCATAAGGACGTGGAGTTTACTTGTAAAGCATGAAGTTGCGCCGTATGCAAGCCCATTTTTACACGATTGCAAAATGTGCTGTGACTATATTTGCGAACGTAATCTGGCTTGAAAGCAAAAGTAATCATGAACCATTCGTAATATGTCTTGATTATTATGTAGCATCGGGTAGAAGGTTAACGGACTACATGTTTACTACAGTATTTACAATTTTTGAATTACTTCCCAAAGTATCCGTTTTTCCTGCATTGGTGTGAGTTGAAAGTTTATGTAAGCAATTAGCATCTGTAATATGTGCAATGCACAATAAATTATCAAAACTATCTTTACCCTCTCCTATTTCTCATCGCAAGCCGAGCAGTTATCATTAGTTGAGAGCCTACGATATTCCTAGCAATGACTAGTCACTCTTGCACAGTATGATTATAGTTTCATTTGGTTGATATACTTCACTACGCGCCTTTTCAATTTGGGAGTTTAATGCATGGTTAACCAGCCCGATATGGCTGCATTTGGTGTTATTCTATAGTCGTTCTATAGTGGGCAAAAGAAATATCAATGTATTTCAAGAGTCGTATTCTACATTCCTTTTCGCAGTACTCTTAAAATTGTAGAATAAAGCGGGCATCCACAATTCGTTGTAATACCATCCTAGCGATCATCGCAGCAAGATATCGCTTGCTCGTTAGGTACTTGTAAAGAAATGTGAATATTGCGCTATAAGAATAAGGTATCTGTACAAGAAGATCATGACGAACTGTACATAAGCAACTTTACAGTTAATCATGTTCGAAACGTATCCATTTTCTAGGAAAAAATTGATAGAATCTTTTACGGTAGTTGCGATGCAGAGAGAGCAATCCAAATCAATTACCCAATAGTCTGCAGATTTTGAACACTTTCAAAATAGGCGAATATGATTAACTATGGTTGATTCCTTGTTTCAGTTATTTTTTCGTCCATCACGCATTGATGATGTCGATTTTTATGAAAAAATGCATGATGGCCGGTAATCAGCACATGGTTTTTCCGCCTTTTTTTGACAACACTGCCATTTCGATCCAATGGCGACTAAAAAAAGGACACCCTCTACAGTACATCAAACGGCTAAATCCAATTCCAATTGAAAATGTTTGGAATTTTTGCTCTTTGGATATAGCCATGCATGATCAAAGTTGGCCAGTAGATTCAATTACTCCTGTTTCATCGTGGTGAGTAACATACCAAACGCATAGTTATGATGATAGCAAAGCATGGATTGAATTTTTTCACGCAATATTGCCTCAGCATGACTGTGTAAGCATTGGATAACGGTCCATATACTATGTTTTTATATTTTCAAAGCAATGGACACTATTTGTAGTAGTACAACTGCATTGCCATCTTGCCAGTATGACTACAATCTTGACTGACTAAAAGAAACAATCTTGTACTTACGTGCTGTGGACCAGCAGGAAAAAATGGTCAATACTGATAATAGGAAGCCCGTCCAAGATAATTTTGCCATCATCATCCTTCTCCACCTTGATACTGTAAAAAGGCAGTTAAAATAGACTACAAAATTTTGTACCGATTGGATAAAGAAACGGCTTGATTTTACCGACCTAGCACAGAAAATACAGCGTACAATATATTGAATTAAGGAATGATCGTATTTGCTTCCGTGTTTGTTTTGGCGTCCAATTTACGTCAGTAGCAGCAGGTGCGTAATAAGGTTATTTTTAGTCGTTTAAACTGTGATCTAGGCAAGTTGCCACTGCAGAATGAACGTAGGATCGATGAACTTTCCACAATTTACTGCCAGTCGATTCGCTAACGTTAGTCATCAACGTCAATAGGATGTTAATATGGACCGCTCAGGAGATTCTAGTGCAGCGCGGGAGGTCGCTCGCTTCTATAACGCCACAAGGCTTTGCTTTACTATAAGCTAGTAACAGCCTTTGATGTGCAATTTGCCTGATTTATCCAATAGTCTATTGGTATGCAAATGGTTGTGGGCCTTACGTTTCCGCCATTAAGATCCACTTGTATACGGTAGTATGGATCGCTGTTGGCTGTATGCGCGATCGATACTTGGATGGACAACATGCCGGTCGACAAAAGAATGTCCACTTTATTTGCAAGGAGTTTATGACTCATCCAGTCAGCATGGACTACTAGATCAACATGGACATGATGATGAGAAAAGGATCAAAGCTGCCTTTTGCCCTTTGCGTTGGTGTGATTTAGGGCGCATTCTGCATACCATGGCAGTGGTGGCTATGTTGACAGGACAGTTGCATTCCGTGAAGGCATCAATCAAAGCATACTACAGTCTGCAGACGGATCTATCCCGTTGGAAAGTGATTGCTCTACATGTTGTAACTATTCCATCTATCTCTCTCTTCTCTCTCTATACAGTATCCACAAGCAGATGTTTCAGCGAAAGCCAAAGAGAGAAAATGCTTTCTGACATTGATCGATCGATGTTGTTGGTGCTGGGAGAAAATTCAACATGCCTCTTGGGTCCAAAAACAGAATCAAGGATTACAACACGCTAAATTAGTTTGGTCATCGTTCTCATCTCAACAGGCTATCAGAGGCGTGCCTGTACAGGTGTACGACAAGGACACCATTCGTTGTGGGCTACTGTATAAAGTTATTCAAGAGATCGACATTGACTACTTTTAGCAGTAACACTCTATGCGCCATAGCCGTGGTCCACATTGGCAAATGTCCTGACCGAAAGGCACCTGAAAGAACTTCCAACTACAACTACGGCCTATTAGCGGCACTTTGAACATTGCAGCGGTGTTCAAAAGTAGTCTTGAACTACACTTGTGTCGGCACAATACTCTACTCGGTAACCAAATCAATGACAGTCCTGTAACCATCCTCTACTATCAGGGATAGTTGCTTCTTCCAGGACAGTTTATCATCGAACTTTTGCAATCCTAAATAAAGAAAGATTGACGATGACAGGACTGCAACTGCAAATCCTTCCCCCCGCCCGTTTTTCGCAATGTCTTTGATCAGTCTGTTGTCTGATAGACCTGACATAGGGATAGTTGCTTCTTCCAAGACAGAATATCATCGAACTTTGCAATCCTAAATAAAGAAAGATTGACGATGACAGGACTGCAACTGCAAATCCTTCCCCCCGCCCGTTTTTTCGCAATGTCTTTGATCAGTCTGTTGTCTGATAGACCTGATATAGGGATAGTTGCTTCTTCCAAGACAGAATATCATCGAACTTTGCAATCCTAAATAAAGAAAGATTGACGATAACAGGACTGCAACTGCAAATCTTTCCCCCGCCCGTTTTTCGCAATATCTTTGATCAGTCTGTTGTCTCTTTTTCCTAGAAATTCAGAAGGCCTTGAATACATGTCCAATATGTAGAGCACAGTATGACGAGTAAACTGCTTACTCTACTGTACACGGTCATTGTCAGGTAGGGATAGACCTGACATAGGGATAGTCGCTTCTTTCAAGACAGTTGATCATCGAACTTTTGCAATCTTCAATAAAGATTGATGACCACAAAAGTGCAACTGCAAATCCCTCCGTTTCTCGCAATGTTTTTGATGCTGAAAGTTTTTACTGGGAGTTTCTGAGACAGTATTTAGCTCAGAAATTGAGGAGGTCCGAATGACACAGTGTACAGTGTACAGTACACTGCCCTGCCCAATAGAGTACGAGGTACTGTACACCAACCGAAAAAAATACTGTACCGTACAATGTACAGTGTACAGTACTGAAAAAGGAACAGAACAGAATCCACCGTAAAAAAGAGTACTGTACAGTGTACAGTATGACGGGTACACTGCGTCAACCGCTATCGTCAGGTCTGTACCGGGACCGGTCTGTTGCATTCGTCCATAATTGCCAACCTACAAAAATGGCTACTCGGCCGATACCTTTCCTAACCAAGGTCCAACGTGGAGTAACCTTTTCGCTAATTCTACTAACCGTCTATAGTGGTTACATCTTATCACGCGCTTCTTATGATGTGTTGGAACGACGCCGTGCTAACAAAGTTTTAAGTAAAGTCGATGTAAGTACGCTGGCATATTTACGCATCTTTCTTACTTCCCATTTCACCCATGGATATTCGCCAACATACGTAGTAACTGTACAGTGACTAGGATCCAATCAAGTCCAGTAGGATAGCTCTGGAGTGATTACGAATACAGCTATATACGGGTATAGCTAGCTAGTCAATCAACAACGTTGACGCTTAGTAGTTTCCATCATAAGAGGAATCTTAGTACGCCATCTTACAAGATACTATAGTAAGTGGACGTGCAATCTTTTCAGACAGTACCACCGAGATTGCAAGACACTAAAGACAGTGTGTTACGTATCGACAGTACAGATTTGAGCCTCTACTAATCTTGGCTAGCTTTATAGATAACTGCTCATTTGGTAAAGTTGCTCCATAGGACTATTTTACACTGCAAACATGAATCGAAATACAAATAAGAGCTGTAGTATCAATATACAACTTGTGCTCAGCTACACTTTACAAACACTTGTAAAATTAGAGGAGATTTGCAATGTTGAAATTGTTATACAATGAGAATAAACTCAAAATGGCTATACTGTACTCTATCGCTTTTGCTTGCATTACTAATCAATTTCGGTGTCTTCACTTTATAGGACTGAAATCAAACGAACCTCTTATGGCGCACAAGAACTACATGTATAATTTCGATAAAAGTACTGTAGTTTGCCGAGTTCGTGGTCTTTCACATGGTGAATGCGTTAACTTAAGCAGCTATTGACAAGAAATAATTTGTATAGGCATCTCTTATATTATTCTACTACAACTATAACAATATCAACTAGATTGTTGGAATGGCCATTTTCTATGTGTGCGTACAATGGATACTTGTCACATTGATAGCATTATTCTATTCGTTCAATACTACAGTATTTCATCATGCAATAGATTCATCAAAAGCTTGTCCAAATGTATCATGCATTGTACAGCATACTGTACAGAGCAGATTCGACTATGTAATGAAAGATGGCGTTGTTAGACTCGCATTTCAGCTTACCTACGTTGATAAAACTTTCTGAGCGTGTAATACAATGCAAAAAAGATAGAATGCTGTAATAAATCGATACAATCTTATATAGGCAAACAATGCTGTAGCAGCATACGTTGTTATTCTGAAATGCAGAAAATGCCATTGAAATCATTCAAAGAGTCATAAAGTTCGTCGTTATACATTTATTCCTCAAATACTTCAAATTTATATCTGGAATATCTGCTTCAACTATTCTCAAAGTACCATCAAAATAAACAATGTCCATAAATCCTAATGGCCAAATTATTAGCTTACAATCTACATGTAATAAGAGCAAACTGTATAACGTAAGGACGCTTGATAGTTGAAAAAGAATTTGTTAGATATTAGCTAAGTGAGATCCTGCATGAATTTCTCTTATCGGAAACCTTTTGAAGCAGCATTTCTGTGATTTTGATTGATCAGCTTCTATTCTTCTTCTTTTAAAGTTTGAAATACTACTGAAAAGTCTTTCTTCCCATAGCCATTGTTACATAGTACGCGATACAGCTGATGGGCAAGAGATCCTAAGGGCGTAGGAGAATTCGTAGCGTTTGCAGCACTCTGAGCCAAACCTAGATCCTGCAATAGATCATAATCAAATGACCCAATCATTCCCGTAAGAGATTAGACATTGGAGTTTGCAATCTATTTTATAACAATTGCCTGGCTAAACTACTAAAATATTTCAGTGACATCCATAAAGAGTGAGTAGAAATACTTTAGTATAAGTCAAACCTTGGTCATTAGAGCAGTTCCGAATCCACCTTCATAATTGTTACTGGATGGAATACCTTCAATTACTCCTGGGCATGGATTATATACCTCGCTAGACCAGCATCTACCTGAGCTCATGTTAAGAATTTTTGCCAGCAATTTTGGATCTAGGCCGAGCCTTTTGTAGATAGTAAAAACATTTGTTATCCATTTGATATTAAAATTTACGTTCGCTAGTGTACTGGAAAGAAACGCATTACTATGAACTAATGAAATATCAACAATAATCTGTTCGCTTTGAATTGGGTAAATGATCCCTAAGATCTGCTATCGAAGGATTATGGTATCACAGAGTGATTATGACATCAATCAGAAAATGCAACAATAAATTTACAATAATTTCGACGACGAACTAGGCAGTGGTTATAAGCTACCTTATTCCTAAGTTCATTGTTTCAGATGTTCCAATCATGCCAATAGCCAAAAGCATATTGTTACAAATTTTTGATGCTTGTCCGGTTCCAACTTTGCCACAGTGAACAATATTTTTCCCCATGCAATCTAATATACTCTTAACTTCATCAAACTTTTCTTCCGGGCCTCCAACCATAAATGTTAATAACGCATCGCGAGCCGCTACAACTCCTATTTACGGGAATTAAAAAGCTATTTTTAAACTTTTCCTAGCATAAATTTTTGACGACATTGTACTGATGGACACAATATCTGCAATCACTTATCAACGATGTGAACCAACTGTAATAAAATAAAAGTACGGTATTTCAATATATGAAGAAACAGTTGTACCTCCAGAAACTGGAGCGTCCATAAAAGTACTTCCTTTTTCGGAAGCTATTGCAGCCATTTCTTGTGATACAGCCGGATCGATTGTACTACTATCAATGAATAAGGAATCTTGGCTTGCAGTACTATGTAAGAAAGTAGAGCACAAATTTCTTAACCAAATCAGAGCTAGTTCATAATGCAATCATTTTTCTCCGACTCTAGCCATTCTACCTGTCTCCTGTACATTAACTGAACGAAGCTACACTTGATTGACGTAATCATGTCACCCAACAAATGAAAGCATGCATTGACTAGTTATCAATATCCATGGTCACTAATACCACAAAATTTGATCTGCAAAGTACTAACATCCATGGAGCTTGAATGACAGTGTAATAGCGATGCTCTATTGAACTTCATCTCAATTTAATGCAAAACTTACCTAAACAATCCATTACTGCCGGTATAAACTTCACGTACATGAGGATTTGATGGCAACATTGTCACAATAGTTGATGTTCTGCTAGCTAACTCTGCTGCAGTTTGAGCAACTTCAGCACCGTCATTTTTCAAAGCGCTGACTGATTCAGGTACTACATCGTTAACAATGACTTTATGGCCATTTTTCATTAAATTTCTCGCCATAGAAGCGCCCATGTTGCCCAAGCCGATAAAGCCAATATCCTAAAGTGCAATTCATTATCTATTATTTTCAAGTATTGTATTCAATTTTACCGTTAGCATACAACTGTAACTGTAGAGTATTGTAGTACAGAGCTTGACTATCGTGAGACGTTGTTGGTAGATATACAGCTTTTGTTACATCACTGCTTTAAAGAAGCCTAATTCTCTATTCAGATCTCGAATACGTACAATCGCAGCTACTCAAGGCACTGTCTAGGCTTTGTTTACAATTTTGCTGTAACAACTACCGTTTCCGACTGTGACTTTAACGTTTAGTTTTATAGTAAAAATAAATAACTTAGCATAAGGCGATTACAATAACATGAATTTGACACAGGTGATGTATTCGTGTAGCTGAAATGTAAAGTTATGTCTTGTTTCTGGTGATAGTATTGACGGTAGAATTTGAACTTGCAGAGACAGACACGAATTTACCTTGTTTTTGATGCTGGATCCTAGTAGAAAAAGATAACATGATAAAATAAGTCTATACCATAAACGAGACCAACATGTACATTGTATGTGCTATAATAGTGCGTGGATCATACAATGTTTAATAAATAACTCCAGCCATTTAGCATCATCGCTCACTTGTCACTGAGCTCTGTACATGATTTGATCAGACAAGATTGAGCTGTCAGCCAATAGTTAGTAAGGTATTGAATGGAGTTTTGAAGATGTGTACGATCAGAATAGTGCAGATTAAGTATAGCAACGATATACCATACACCGTAATAATACACGTATTTGCTAGCGTATGTTGTAATCGACGGTATGTAATCAATGAGTGAACAGCACACAATTGCATTTGATTACAGTAGTCTTTTACTTAGAGCAGGGTAGCATCAATTTGATTCAATTAATGAAGCGTTGATAAGTCCTTCAGCATACGTACGCGTATACGTCTTGCTCGAAATACAAGATAACCTGGTAGCAATACGAATGTACAGTATACCAAGGATACTTATATTACAGAAGCATAATCCTTTGCAATATGCTAATGAACTACGTTATAGGCGTATAGCATGACTACTCTCAAGACTATGCATTGATAACAGCGCCACAATAAGCAGTTTATCAGATCAATACAGTTTACTCTCGAGTATCAGATAAAAACATTAACCCCCAGCTCTTCAGTGACTGCTAGAGACCCTGAGAGAGTTGCTACGGTAGTCACTAAAAGAGGCATCGTCAATTTTGCATGAAGAATCGGAAAGGTGCCCGAATTTTGTACAAGGTTTGGGCGAGATGAGACTGCAGTGAACAGTTTACTCGTATAGAAGATTTTAAGGATGAAGGTAAAGTTACCTGATATACAGCGCTTGATTAACCTACAGCTGCTGGTCACTTTGCTGTTATTCCTACCGACTTCCCTTAACAAGTAAGCCATGATTGAGTGGATGGAAATTATCGATGTGGATTATGGAATGGCTGCAACCGACTGCAAGCAAAACAATTTTAAAGTGCAGTAGGTGTGTCTGAGCAGCTCAGTATGCTCAAGTCCAGCCAGACTAAAACTTCAGACGCTGGCGAACCGTTACGACACGTCGCGAAAGGGTACAGTACAGTACAGTGGACTACAGTACCGTCCACTGTACACTGTAGAAAGAGACTGTTTAACTTCGAGCACATGCGCGTTCAGCATGGACTGTACTCAGTGTACTAGTAGTACAGTACTGTACACTACTGTACCATGAAAGTTCAACTTTCTTAGTGCGTATTTCTTAGTTGATTTTCGTTAAGATTCCCTAGCCATTTTTTAGTTAAACCTTAATCGGTTGGGTATGAAAGAAATCCTTGAGTTTCAATTTTTACCCACTATAGTTAGCTACTGTTAACGGACTTTTGTTTCAAACGGACTTCTCCAAAATAAAATGTTGTCTTACACTAGACGTACTGTACAGTGTACAGTATGTCTGTCGAGGAGAAAGTACTGTGACTGTATAGAACAAGAATGCCAGGATTTGTGCGCATGCACCATGTCCCTCTTGGTCACGGTCAGTGCTTGCTGCCATACCGACACGACTGTCTTGAACGATAGTAGGAGTAGACTACTAGTACCGCTGAGCCGTTAGTGACGGTGGATTAAAGTGATCTCACGTTGAAGCATTGAGGCAAAGTGAACATACAATCGTCTTGCTTCGTCATGTCCGAACGCTACAGCTTCAGTTTAACTACCTTCAGGTAATTTTGAACTCCATTTGATAGACTTTCCATGGTAAATTAGAAGTAAATGTTTGATTGAATTCTTAAGCATCTTTTCTACAATGATTAGTAAATGCTTTTAATAAGTTTTATTGAGCCTATCAAGGCACAAATGGATACATAGACGAGTAGAACGACTCGTCCAATTCTCTTTGTGTTATACTGTGTCTTGACAAAGTTTCTATATCATACCGGGTGCTTGCAGTTTGGAGCACAACAGTCATTCGAGCCGTCAGTTGATCATAGTAAATATCCTCTAAGACCTCTACGGACTTTTTATGAGTCCACTTGAATGTATTAAAGCTTTATCGTTCATGAAGTAGATTGGATTCGATGTGAATAGGATCGTATCGACAAAATGCGTATGCGACTAGATAAGGAATAGGATCGAAAAATAATTCAATCTTGCTTTCAATGATTATTTTATTATAGTCCATCCGGTAAACTTGTACAAATTGAATATGCTTTAGCAGCAGTTGCTGCCGGCAGTCCCTCCATTGGTATTAAAGGTAAGATAAATAAGTAATGTATTCTCTTTGGATAAATCCCTTCCTTCCAAACTCTTTCATAATGTCGATAAGCTGTTACCTACATAAAGGTGCACAGCATTTGATTGAACATTCAACGCCATATTACAATGACTGATATATTAAATACAATATGCCTGAATAGTTGCCAATGGTGCCGTTTTAGCCACGGAAAAAAAATATAAATCTCAACTATACGATGAAAATAGTACTCATAAGGTAATGTATTCAATTTCAATGACGGGATTGATATTGTACATGTTGAAAAGGGATTGTTACGTACGACTTTGCTATTATTACCAGAAATTCTAATGAGAGAGGAGTATAGCCATAGTTTTACTAATTCGTCTGTACTCATGGTTGAAATAAAAGATTGTTGTCCATTTTTGATATATACACTTAGGTCGCTAGAATAACTGATAAAATTGGTATGGTGTACAGTGGAATGGGACCCGATTATAGGTACGTAAAATGCAGTTCGCAACCTGTGGATAAGGCTTTACTGTCTTACATTAGCTCTTTATCCAGGCAACACGATTTACATCATTTCATCACAACGGAAGCATCCATTTAACGAAACAACTGCTACAGTGATGCTTCCAGTAGTTGTTAGTAGTAGATTCCCGCTACTATTGCGATGCAATTTGGCGTATACTGTAGAATCGATCTTGAATAGTTCATTTCGTAGCATTGACTCAAACCGGTTGTATTTTGTAAGCCATACCAACGTAAATATCCTTCTGTTCTTGCAATGATATTACATATTAGGGTTCTGTTACGTAAAGCTCGTAAATTGGCCCAGGAATATCAAATGAAGTACCAAGATTCTATTCCAACGTCACAATTGGTAGAAAAAGTTGCATCAGTCATGCAAGAATATACTCAATCCGGGTTTGATACTAAATCTTACAATATTAAGAGTTTAGGCTTACGTTAAAATGATATTACCAATCGTGTAGGCTTACGAAATTACATGTATTTATTTAGTGGTGTAAGGCCTTTTGGTGTATCTCTTTTAATGGCTGGAACTGGTGATGAAGGGCCATATCTTTATCAGTGCGATCCATCGGTACGTTTCGATACTTGTTCTTACAAAGTATAATTCAAATCGAAATTTGTGCATGAAAGATTTATCAACCTTTATTTAGGGTGCATTCTTTGCTTGGAAAGCTACAGCTCTTGGAAAAAATCATGTTAATGGTAAAACATTCTTAGAGAAACGGTAGGATAATCGTCACTAGACTTTCTTGCATCGCCGATAGACACGTCTTAGAGTATTCATTAAAACGTTCTATGACTTATGTTTCTACTTCAAGGTATAACGAAGAAATGGAACTAGAAGATGCTATCCACACGGCCATTTTAACGTTAAAGGTATGTCGCGATAGAGGATGAAAAAGATATACGCGTATTTGCAGAAAATTTTAACTTTGTCTACCGAATTGATATTTTATTGGATAGGAAAGTTTCGATGGTCAAATGACAGAAGACAACATTGAAATTGGAGTGGTTAATTCTAGTGGCTTTAATCGACTATCACCATCCGAAGTAAAAGATTATTTAGCCACTATCTAAATTTAAAAAAAAACTAGGTATTCTTATTGTATTTGTACTAGTGTAATAACTGATTAATTACCAATGATATAACATAAAGGTTGTCAACATTTATTGTTGAATACTGTTTGACGTTACCTATTCATACAAACTGTGTTGTCTTTTTTCAAGATTTTTGATGTTAGGAGTTTTTAATATAATGCTGGAAGGGCTACTGACTCAAAATTCTTAACATGTTATCAAAATACAGCAAATTTTATTTGTTTCTTACTGTTTTTGGACTCATTTGTACTCTACTGTATACTATTTCTATTATTTAGCTTGTCTCATTGATAGAGTGCATTGTTAAGACGCTGATGGTGATTATTAAGTTAAGTTATCAATATCTTGATTAAATTTCTAGATTAAACATTCCTTAATGATGTAAGCGTGCTGATTTTCTACGGTAGACATAACCGATTGGAACAGCTGTGATGAATTGCGCTTGATCTGCGTCATGTCATGCAGTATCTGAATTTTAGTTGCTGCATAAACAAGTGTATGATGCTACTGTAACTGTGATCCTTGTTTATAGACTCTCGATAATAGTTTATATTGACGTATTCGAGGTCAGTAAACTTTGTAAGCAAATTCTAACTAGGTAGCAATCAACAGTAGCTCACTGTCATCTTTCCTAGTGATGTGATCTGCTAGCTTTGTCCTTTCTGGGACACTGATTTGCAAGTTACACAAAGATGGCATGGGGATAGTTACTACTTTTCTTGCGTATATATTAAGAAGCATAGACTTACCACAAGATGGTTGCCTTTTGTACTGCTCGTATATAAGATCGAAAAATTTAAACTCCCTATCTGGCAGCCCACTCACGACTGAATCATTCCTCAGTGTAACTTACAGTATAATTGTAATTGTCTCTCTTTGAGAATGGATTTAACGTCATCGGAGAATAAGTCTTACAGCTGTAGCACTAGTATATTTGCTAATCTATTCGGATGACAATGATATTGATGTAATTGGTATCGATTTATCTTGATACAACTGTGGGCTTTTATATTTATTTAATAATACATTGTTAGCAACAAAGCTGGTATGCAGCAAAGTACATCAAGTCATTGGCTATGCTTTGACAGGTATCCAGAATTTGATAAGACTAGACCTGAGAAAGGTTCGGTTGCTTCATGGTATTTTGTAATTTAAAACTACAATATATATATATATAACAGTAGTATGATCTGGAACTTGTTTGCCTTTTATGCAAGCACTAATCCCACCTCAATTCTACTGTATAGCAAGTCATTTAATTGTACCCATCCATTGTACTGTACTGTACAGCACAATACTTTCATGGAAAATTTGGAACAGTAACTCTACACTACTGCATCCCAAATCAATCCTATGACTACTAGTAGAGTACTTTCATCCGAAACACTTACATATGGCGTTATGTTTCATCAACGCGTGAATAAAAAAACTAGCCATTCTGTTTACTAATAGAACAGAGTAAATGAATCATGCTTGCATCAGGGGACTGACCTGCCAAAGCTAGTGTTACTGTCATGACCACCATCGTGTATTCGTGTCGCACACCACTAGTGACAAATTAGTCTACACACGCCAATCCTTGCGGAGAACGCCACTTACTAACTTAAGAGGCGAGATTAGCTATATCACCAAATAATTCAGTTCCAACGACCGAATACTATGGTATAATTATAGCGTCACAGATAGTGTAGACGAGAAAGTCAGAGATTTACTATCATTTAATACTGAAGAAATCTCGGCACCCAAGATTATAGTCTTTACAATTAAATATCAATTGAAAAACTAGTTGACTATCTAACCGACTAACTAACTAAAAAGGAATCTTCAATTCGAAATATGCGTATAAAACGAGGATGTGATGATCAATCGATGGATTGTTTTTGTACGCATATGCAAAAATACAAGCACACTGCCAGTAAAGCAGCGGGTTAAAAGGCTACTTGGACTGATTTGGAATTGGTAAATGCTTGCATACAAAGTGTGTGGTAGCAGGTAGGGCTCATGCAAAGTGTACGTACTGTACTGTAAGTATTTCGGATGAAAGTACTCTAGCCATAGCTACGTCAGTAATTTCAGTTTGTGATCTTGCTATTTAACCTGTATTGGATTTCACAATAATACTGAATATTACAAAATTTACGCTGTCAAAAATTGATAACAGCTGTATATTATAATATAGATCGCATAGTTATGAACCTTGTATGAGGTATGCAATATATTTATTATTATACAATATGCTACGGTGGAATAAAGGATCACTTTGAGAACACATGGATTCTAAAAGTGAAATTTTGAACTGTTTGTAATCTATAATTAGATATAATATTAGGCAACTAATAAGAATTAAAAATATTTTTGTATACTGAATATCGCTGCTTTTGTATCTTTATATTCTTCTGTTCAGATTTGATGTTTTCTTGCCGGTATAGCATTTTACTTGCAGTAAGAATAATCTACAAATAATTCGTCGTGAAGCTAATGGCTGACCAGTAATATACACCAATTTATACAATGATAGCAATAAACTTGCTATTTAGCTAGTGACTACGAAATTTAAATACGCATTATCTACTAAAAGTTCATAACCTTAACATCCTGTTTGTTCGCTGGTTTGATTTCAACAAAGATTGTCATCAGTTCCTATACTACTTCTTTTACCATCAATATTGTATATATTTAAGGTAAAAGCCATCCTATTCTGAAATTTTAGATGTCGTGTTATCTTTATTAATCATTTTATACAGTATTAGCTCCATTTTATAAGGTTACATATCTCTGATCGCGATATTTTTTATAGTAATATGATAAAATACAATTGTTGTAAATAAAGACGATACGCTATTCCGATATCATTTAGGGAATTTATATTTACTACGATAGGGCTCAACTGTTTGTTAGGCAATAATGTGCTCTGTAAAGAAAGTCATAAAAGCAAATTAGCAACCAGTAGCTTAAGAGGTATTGATTTGGCAAGGTATAAACCAATGTTGAAATTTAGTTTTCGCTTCTGCCTTCAAGGACGCATTAAAACAAATGATGAATATTGGATGTATGTTTAAGAATACAATTATCATCAATGAACTCGTAAAAAAGGGAATCATCAGTCGGTAATAATTTTTAGAAGTTATAATATAAGCGAAAATTACAACCGGAATAAAAGTTAAAGCGTAAAAACATACAATTATAAATGCTTGAATTATAGCCTTTCTATTTTGTATGTAAGATTTAATCTTTCGCTTATGAGAGTGGGCGCAATCAGGAGATACATGACTATTAATTTTCCGATGAAGTTGCCATAAAATAATAGCGTAAACTAAGACTGTAATAACAGGCGGTAGGAAGTAGAGAATTGGCACGGCACAATACAGCATAATCGTTCTAATCACTGGAATTCGAAACCAATTGAGGCAGCATTTACAATATACATACGCAGCAATCTTAACTGGAAGCAGAAGAAAAAGAATAGGCAGAATCCAAACTGCCAGTAAAAGTTTGGCAATGTTCGCCTTCGATGCTATACGTCGATATTTAAATGGATAAATGACTGCATAAAATCTCTCTAGGCTAAGAAATGCAATATGGATATTATAGATAGCTTCAGCAGTTAAATGCATTATTGCATCAAAAATGCATCCTACTAGAATAGATTGTAAGGGACCAGCAGTGAAGATAGTTGTTGAGCCACTAGCTACGTGTGACATTGCAAGTAAAATGCCTGCAAAGCAAGAGCTACACGTAATTGCCCAGCTTGGAACTTTTAGAGAGGGTCGACTTAATAGTAAAATAATAATTATTATATTACTAACAATTGCAGTAATTGAAAATGTAACGGATAAGATGTTAAATTCTTTACTAATGTATTCTATCCTATAGGAAGTGCTGTTATATTTTAAATAAAGCATCTTCGCCAATCAAGAATAGAAAATAATTAATTTTAGAAAAAGCGTTCAAATCAGGCAAGATCCACACGGCTTAAAAGAGGCTTTTAGGCTATTATCAATTTCGATAGCTGGAAGCAATTTAGTTTAGAACCAATCTTCTAGAAATAAATTAGTTGACACAGGTTAACTCTTTTTATTACAAACTGGTTCTAAATAGGTTTTTAAGAGCTTAACAAATTGTGGACTAAAAATTATTACCGCACCCTAACAAACCTTCGATACTCGATCAAGGTGCCTAAGAATTGCATTATGTTGAATGGCAATATATGATGCACGTCATTAGAATTAAATCGATTTCATCGCAATAGCTACGATATGAATATGACGAAACCTTGTCGAACTTATTACGTTTAATGCTATATTAGTACCGTATTTACATATAACGAAAGTATTGAAACTGTGATATGAACATAATTGCTAAAATGTACCCAAATTTGACATTAGCCTGGGTAAAAAAATAGACTTATGATCTAAAAATATTTCGATTTACAGATATTGTTCGATGCGATTGCATTAAGTTCTATATTTCTTATCGCTCTAACACGTCAATTGTCTCGTAAATGAACGTTTATACGAATATAGATTCAATTTAGGATTACTCCCTACCGGTATATCCTCAAACTTTACATATTTTGTTATGGCCCAATCTGGTACGATAATGATATTATTAAGGTATTTTAGTCAAATTAGTAGTATAGCAATGACCTCTAGTTTATAAGCCATATATCACGAAGTATTAGCGTAGCAATGATCTCTAGTATATCAGCTACATATCATTTTACTAATATTTAAACAAGCTTTATTGCGTGAAAGGGTAACTAGGCAGCATCATTTACTTTTTTCTGTTACACAAGTTTTTATTGTCGATTGTAGCCAATTCTTAAATGAAATTTTAAAGAGCTGCAATTTTAGATTTTATAGATAATACATCATTGTCTCATTAGTGAGAAAAATTTTTCATGCATATTTACCGTTCGATATTACATATTTTGCAATAAATAAATGCATAAAAAATTTTTCCTATTTATTATTATTATCAATATCATTAATTACTATTACGTCACCGAAGCAATTATATCTCTTATTAATGAACGGTAATACGCCCGGTAGATTTGAAGGAAAAAGCAGTAAATTAGATTCTACGATAGTAACTATTAAAGATAGAAATAATTAATAAATCAGATGGAGTCTAAACTGCACGAAGCTATTTTTCTTAAATCAATTACGTATCGTAATAAATTCAATTTATTAAGAGATATGTATCATTTAATCATTAATCTTTTGAAAGTAAACACATATAATTCGTATG